GAGGGGCGCTGCCGGGGTCCGTGGCCGTGGGGGAGCGAGTCATGCACGGCTTTCCCGCACCGGCACCAGTCGGTAAGCATTACTCTCTAAGCAGAGGTTGTGGGGGGAAAGATCGTTAGCTTTTTATATATGGCCGTTTTTTTGTCCTGACCCCCACCACCCGTCGGTGGCCGGCGACCTTCTCTGGCTAATGGATACTGCCTGGACAATTTGATACTGTCTTTTTGCCACCGAAAGGGATCTGCTTGGAGATTAGGTAAGGATATACTATATACTAGTACATCTAGGGTTGAAATCTCTAGAATTTGGCTAGCCTCCACCAGGCCTTCCTACGGTAATACGGATCGTAGCAGTTGGCAAAAACGAGAGTAAAATTGGCCAGGTGAGTCAGTTTACGGAAGGTTCTATTGGCTTATTTCACTCCGAAAGAAATGCTCTCCCTGTCAAACCCTAAGGCGGCAAAACTCCCCTGGCAAATATTCTCCCTATATTATATACTGTATAGCCAGCGTAGTTAGCCTGGTAAAGAGTAGAATTTGGCTGTTCTAGTTATTCTTAGACATCAAAAATGTACGGAGACGTCTAGTGTGAAAGCATTTTTACGAGGCGGTGCTGTAGATAGTTTTGGGCACTTTTAAACTTTGTTTATTTTCCCCGTACTTAGACCACGAGACGAGCAGCATAGAGGGCGCCACTGCACACACGGTGGACTACGTCGCCAGCGCGCGCTACTCGGACCTGTCCCCGCTGGTGGTCAGCAGGTGTAAGCGGATGATTCTGGACACGCTGGGGGTGACGGTGGTCGGCTCCAGTACCGAGGTGTCCGGCATGGTGGCGGCGTACAGCCTGGCACAGCAGGTGAGGAACAAGGCTCGGATTTTGTCAAACTTGGACCAAGAATAGCCTGTGTACACAAGCTCTTTGTCTGGCGCTTAGAGAGTGGGGGACTATTGGGAAGCCGGCGAAAAGCGAGGTTTAGTCAGGCTAGACCAAGAATAAACTTAGAATATACGTATATGAATATATGGCCAAGTAGGGTTTTTTTTCTTTAGAATCATGTAGCCTGGATGCTAGACCCATGGCACGCTAGACCCAGAGTTATTAGCCAACACAGCGTCTTACTGTGGGGGATGTGGTATAACTTCCTTGGGGTCATGTTGGGCCTGGAACCGAGGAACTGGCCTGTGTTGACCCTAGGAACAGTCTGGCACCCAGACTAACTGAGGGGACTGCCGTGTAATTTCCTTGGGGGCATGTTGGGCCTGGTGCCGAGGAACTAGTCTGTGCAGTGTATGTAGACGTGGATCCTGGGAACAGTCTGGCACCCAGGCTAAGAATCATGTACTTCGACTGATATACAGAACTTGAAGATTGTAGGTCAGATTCAGACGCCACGGTGTGTTACGATTTATTGGGGAAACGTTGACGGCTTAAGTCATTGCCTGTGTATACTTTTCTCGAAGTTTAAAGCGGTATTAAACTGTAGTTTGGTTTCAGACTCCATGAACTGCGGCACGATTTATTAAAGAAATTTTGACGGCTCAAATCAAGGACTTTCCTCGCTTAGACCTGCCTCCTTTCTCCCCCAGGGCGTTCGCTCGGAGCCGGCGGGTTCCTGCGCACTGCTGGGCCGGAAGGACCGCGCCACCTCCGCGCCGCTCGCCGCCTTCGCTAACGGAGTCAGCGCGCACTCCATGGACTTCGACGACACCTGGCACCCGGCCACGCACCCCAGCGCCCCGGTCCTGGCGTCTCTCCTGGCGCTGACCGATCTCCTGCGGCCCGTCACCGCCGTCAGCGGGCGGGAACTGCTGCAGGCCTTCGCCGTGGGGATAGAGGTACAGGGCCGGCTGCTGAGGACATCCGCACAGGCCAAGAACATCCCATGGAGGTAGGAAGAATATTTTTTGTGTGTTACCAAGGAAGTTGATTTTTAACCTTCTTGGCGTTACCAACAAATTGCATGCAACAATTATCAATCTATTTAAGGCATTGTTCTTCGAAGTGTATGCACTTCTTCTTGAACCTTAATTTGTCCGTGATACATGTATAGAATACAAACACAGGTTTAACGTGTGTGACGTATTAATTTATTGCCAGTTTGTCAAAGTATATTGTATGTTCCTTGAAAATTAGACACGTTTATTGACGATTTTCTAGACCTACAGATAATATTCTGTGTTCTAACGTGATTAAAATATTAAATTTACCACAAGTTACCAATGAGCTTGTGCTTGGCTTATGTGGATACCGTAAGTCACAATTTTTTCGCGGTACTTTCATATTCGCGGTCACTTCAGTACCGCAAATTGTATATTATGATTACCATGAACAAATAATTCACCGACTTTCTTTTTTTTCTGCACCTGCCGCCACCGTGAACGTATATAGTTACACAAACATGTTTCCTCAGACTGCGAACTTTTGCTACCGCGAACATAACGTGATTTACCGTATTTTGTGTTTGGAAGGTTCCATCCGCCGGCAGTGGTGGGGGTGATGGGTAGTGCCGCCGCGTGTGCCAAGCTCCTACAACATGATCCCGTCCACGTGCGAAACGCTCTGTCTGCCGCCGCGTCGTATGCAGGTAAAGCCGGTAACAGTTACGGAACTGAGCCCTCGACGTTAGGGGATTTTAGATGTGTAATTGAGCGTGAAACCGGTCACGGTAGTGTGGGTCTGGGGGTAAAGGGGCAACGTGCTTTATGTCTCATGCTTCCTGCATACTGTCAACCATTAGGAAATATATATATATATATATATATATATATATATATATATATATATATATAGAGAGAGAGAGAGAGAGAGAGAGAGAGAGAGAGAGAGAGAGAGAGAGAGAGTAG